TGACCCATTATTGTTGTAAACAAAGATTACTGTTTGTGTTCAGGTGATACATACTGACCACAGAGAAAATATTGTAAAGGAGGAAAAAACATTCACCTATAGATTCAAGTACCAAGAGACGACCGTTTTGATTTCCTGGGCTGTTTCCTTCCAGACTTTGTGTTTTGGTCTAGGCATATATATTTATATACACATGTTTTATACAGTTTTTTGGCTACTCTGTTGCTACCACAACATCCTTTGCAGCTCATATCCTTGACGGCCTTCAAGAATGGGTCCCAAACAGTTAAGCCAGGGAGCATTCCCATTCTCTAGCTACTTGATTGGACCACGGATGGACCTAGTGAACTATGAGGAGACCTTTGCTGGGGGCTTTTGGGAAAGAAAGTTTGCTTTTTCTCCTGAGAAGTTTACCAAAAAAAGAAGATTTCCCCTTGATTAGATATGAGTGAAGTCTGTAGTGGCCCTGATTACTGCGGGCAGTCATCCTGACACCACGCAGATAACTGTGCTAATGACAAACTGATGGTATGAAAAGAGATCAGGCCTTGGTGATTTTATCAACCAGATCAAACCTCATCTGAAGCCCTCCCTCGCTGAACTATTTTGTTATTTGAACCAACAGATTCCATTTATTGTTTAAGTCAATTTAACTTGAGGCTTCTGTGACTTGCAACCTGGGGCATCACAATTCCCAACTGATATTACTGTTTTAGAGCTTTAAAAAAAAATTAACACCATAACTGTGAACACTCTCTATGTCATTCAACACTATGCTGCATCATTTTAAATGATTGCTTGATTCTTCTTTGCGACCCTATGGACTATATAGTCCATGGAATTCTCCAGGCCAGAATAGTGGAGTGGGTAGCCTTTCCCTTCTCCAGGGGATCTTCCCAACCCAGGGATCGAACCCAGGTCTCCTGCACTGCAGGCGGATTCTTTACCAGCTGAGCCACCAAGGAAGCCCAAGAATACTGGAGTGGGTAGCCTCTCCCTTCTCCAGGGGATCTTCCCTGCATTGAACCAGGGACTCCTGCATTGCAGGCAGATTCTTTACCAACTGAGCTATCAGGGAAGCCCAACCTAAGGAAGTGCCAGCATGTACTTAACTCATTCCCTGCTGTGACATGCTTCTGTCCTATTTCCAGTTTTTCGCCATTGTAAACAGTGTCTTGGTAAACATCTTAATCTAACTATTGATTCCCTCTCTCAAGATTATTTTGGGTCAAATTCTGAGGAGTGTAATACTGGGTAGAAGAAATATTTTTAGGGTTTTGATTTAATGTGTCAAGTTGCCTTTCAGAAAGCTTGGATGGATTCCCACTTCCACAGCAGTAAACAGAGTGTTAGACATAGCCTATCATTTCAATAATCTGGATAGAACCAAAGTATATTTACTGTGTCCTCATGTATTTATAGATAATGAATATTAAATAACAGCCCTAAGCCTATTATATCTTCACAATCAAGTCACTGAATGGGAAGTAATAGGATATGAACAAAGGGCTCTAGGCAGACCTGACTTATCCATGAGGTTCCGTGTCTGCGGCCCATCATACTTTGAAGGGCCCACAAAAATGTTTTAATTTTTTTTTAATCAGAAGAAAAAAATGAATAAATAATAATGAACCTAGCCTGGGTTATATTCATTTCTTTTAAAATCAAAGCAGTTGTAAAATTCAATTTAAAAAATATTTATCTAGCTGCATCACATGGCATCTTCCTTGCAATCATGTGGGAACTTTCCTTGGGGCAGCAGGCTCTCTACTGGCACATGGGTTTAGTTGTCAGGATTGAACTTGCGCTATCTTTAATTACAAGGCAGATTCTTAACCAATGGACCACCAGGGAAGTCCCTCCAATTTCTAATATAAGTTATTTTAATAAAGGAAGGAGCCCAGGAAGGCAAAACTACCTAGCGTCCATGAAAGCCATAACGCAGCCTTGGCTGGATGTTGAGGAGAATTCTGAGTCCCAGTCCAGATTCGGTGCAAAAAAAGCATTGCGACCAGTGTGCAATGCCTGCCTTAGGCTTGAAGATGGGAAGTCACACCCTGATCTAGTCGTCTTTGTCTTGGTGACAGGAATACGGGAATGTTTGGGGTTCAAATCCCAGATCTACAACTTAATCATTTTACCTTTCCGAGCCTGTTTCCTAACTTGTAGAAAGGAGATCACGAGGCCTTTCTGAGGTGCTGTGCCAGGTACTGTTCTAAAGAGCTCTCTCATGTGTATTAACCCTTTTATCCTCCCAGCTCCGACGTAATAGTCCCATCGCCATAACGTTTGCTCAGGAAATTGAAATCCAGATCGGAATCGCCTCTAGAGAACTAAAAAAAAAAAAAAAACAAAAAAACAAAAAACAAAAACCCAACAACACAAACAAGGATTCCCCAGGCCTTAGCTTCCCCCTCTTCAAGTCGGGCGTCTGACCCAGAAACTCCGGTGCCCGTGCGCATTCCGACTGCGCCCTCTGCCGGCGTGCGGGAGCACTGTCTGGACGCATCCATTGGGAGCATCCATCCTGTCGGTCAGCAGAGGGAGCGTGGACACAGTCGGGACTGGGAAAGTAAAGGGCTGGGGGCCAGAGAGGAGCCCAAACCCCGCCGGGAGCGCGCGGGCGGCCCCCACGCAGGTCCTGGGCGGAGACCGAGAGCAGGAGGCGTGGTCCCTAAAGGGGCGGGACCTCCAGCGGGGACCCGGCCAGCTCTCCGGGCCAGACGTGGCGCAGTGGCCGGGCGGTTCACCTCCAGCTTGCGGATCATCTTCGGCCGGGTTTCAATGCACCTCCCGCTGCCTCCGCCGCCCCTGCTGCTCTTCCTCGCGGCAGTCGCGGCTGCCACCACCACCTTCCGGCCCGACTGGAACCGTCTACAAGGCCTGGCCCGAGCCCGGGTAGAGGTGAGTGCGGTGGCCCCCCAGCCTAGGGACCACCGCCCCTAAACCCCGTGACTCCTTACCTTTGCAATCACTGTCCGTTCTGGCACAGGACTTTCCCGACTCCCTCGTTCCCCTCGGAGCCGGGACTGTCCCTCCCACTTCCCAGACCCAGAACGCCCCAGCACCCACTGTGGAAGCCCCAGACACCCGAACTTGCGGCCTGGAAATCTGAACCCCTCCCTAGCGCCCTGTCTGGCCGGACAACGGGCCCCAGACACACTGGCTCTGTCCCCTAACTTATGGCTAGTGACTCTCCCAAATCTGCCCTCTGGAGCCCAACTTCCCATCCCCCCCCCTCTTTTTTCCTGGAATTCCTCCCCACCCCAGTTCCGGTTGGTCTCTCTCCCTTTCCCTGGAGGGGAGGGATGACCTTCTGGGAGCTTCCCTGCCACGCGGGGCAGGGGCTGGGAACTGCCTCACTGCCTTACCAACACTTGTTCCTCAGGAATCCCTCCACCCTCCCCTGCCAGGGAGTGCCCCGCCAAAGTCCCTGTCTGGTTGTGTGACTCGGATCGTCACAGACCCTCTCTGGGCTTTGGGTTTCTCCCTGAAAAACAAGGGTGGGGGGAAGGCGGTGGGGGGTGGAGGGGGAGGAGAAAGAAGGACTGAGGAGGACAAGAATGGTAGTCCTAGGGTCTGGACTCCTGTTGGGAGCTAGCTCCCCTTCAGGGAGTACAGGGAGGGGCCCCTTGGGGAAGCTACCAGATGGTCTGTAGGGCTAGGCCACAGGTGGCAGGGAGGGCCAGCTCCACGTGGGTTGAGGTAGGGACCAGATGGTAGGCGTCTCTAATGGGGCCTCCCAGGGAAGTTCTGAGATGTTTCCTTCTGATTGGCCTCCACCCTGAGGTTCTTGGGGCCACAAGCCAGGCCCAGGTCTCTACTGCCTGAGGGGAGTAGGGTGATCATTTCTCTTGGGCATTGGGGGTGGGTCAGCCTGGAGCTAGTGGTAAATAATCTGCCTGCCAATGCAGGAGACGCAAGAGATGAGGGTTCCATCCCTGGGTTGGGAGGATCCCCTGGAGAAGGGAATCACAACCCACTCCAGTATTCTTGCCTGGAGAATCCTGTGGACAGAGGAGCCTGGCGGGCTACAGTCCACAGGGTTGCAAAGAGTCGGACTGGACTGAAGTGCCTTTAGCACACAGGCACAGCCATCAGTAAGATGTGCAGGCAAGAGCTCCGAGGCTGGTAAGTGCCCTTCAGGCCTCTGGCTTTGCTCCTCTTGTCCTCTGGTGTGGTTAGACCTCAGCTTCCCTCTCTGCACAGTTTCCCTTCTGCCTCCATCTCCACATCTTGTGAACCTCTGTTCCAGGGAGTAATCCACAGCCTGACCCAGCCCAGCTGGGGGATGAGGGTAAAATGGGGGTGAGGGTAGATGTGAGAGGCTCCTGACCGATCCCATTTTGTTCCCCTCCAGACATGTGGAGGATGACAGCTTAATCGCCTGAAGGAGGTGAGTTTGAAGGAAGGGGTCCCCAGCTCTGTCCTCCCTGAGCCTCCTGAGAGGTGGGCAGCATGGTCCCAGTGACTGGATGGGGGAGGGTCCCTGGGCTGGGAGTCAGGAGCCTGCACCTGACTTGCTGCCTGACACTGGGCTTCAGTGTTGGTACCTGGAGGGGGTTGGGGCCTGCTGCTCTGGTTCCTCCGCAGGTGAAGGCCTTCGTCACCCAGGACATCCCACTCTAGTATCCTCCTTCTGTTCTGGGGGAGGGAGGAGAGGGAGGGGATCTTCGAGAATTTCCTTCCACTTGACTTCACCGAGAGAGATGATGAATGGTTTTCATCTGACAAGTGGGGCTGATTGAGAGTGAGCTGCCCCGCGAATTCCGAGGTGGTCTTGGTTTGGCAAAAGAAAATTATTAGGTATGACCGGCGCAAACCCAAGAACAGAGAGGAGGCCGCTTTCTTTGAACCCTAATTTCCTCACGTGAAAGTGAGGATCCCTGCCCCACCCGGGCAGACCAAGTAGTGTCCACATCGACAAGGCCCCCGGGAGACCCCAGCTGCCTCTGCCCACCACTATCCGCCTTAACACAGTCTGCAGCCACAACCTGGTGATGAAACACCTGCCGGGGGCCGACCCAGAGCTCGTGTTGCTGGGCCACCGCTTCGAGGAACTGGAGGTGAGGCCTGGGGAGGCGGGCCGGGGGCTGGGGGGAGGCGGGGCCCGGCGCCCTGACCCCGCCCCTCTTCGGCTTCAGCGAATTCCACTCAGCGACATGACCCGCGAGGAGATCAACGCGCTGGTGCAGGAGCTCGGCTTCTACCGCAAGGCGTCGCCCGATGAGCCTGTGCCCCCGGAGTACCTTCGGGCGCCCGCTAGGCCCGCCGGAGGCGCTCCTGACCACGCAGACCTGTAGGTCTGGGGGCGCCGCACTCCCCCCCCGCCCCCCGCCCCGCCTGAGCCCTGGGGACAGAATGAAGCGCTCAGCGGCCCGGGAGCACCTCCCTCGTTGAGGGCCGACGCACCGTCCCCGAGCCAGCACGGATGGAACTGGGGGGGGGTCCCTCCTAACCCCTCTCTCTTCCCTCCCCAACTCCACTAAATCCCCTTCAGCCTTAACTGAGACTCGATTCTTTCTTTGCTGCGGCGGGGGAGGAATAAGAGCTCCCCGAATACCCTCTGGGAGACCCCGCATTCCCAGCTGCCTGAGTAGGGACGTGGGCATACCTTGCCCGGCCGCCCTCCAACCAACCCCCGAAGGGAGGCAGAGAGAAATCTGGGCCGTTGAAAACCAATAATTTATCAAAACGCTGCGTGTTTGCGTGGGAAGGTGCCGCGACAGACAGGGCAGCGGTGGGCAGGCGCACAGGGAGGGGACGGTGCCTGGATGGTGGGCGCTGCTTGCCGCGGGCGGCCGTGCGGGCGGCGGCGAGGAAGCTAGACATTCTTGCCGCGCAGGCGCAGCTCGTGGCGCCGCAGGTGGTTGTAGAGCGATTGCACGTAGGTGAAAACGCACTTGGGGTCGGGCTTCTTGCCCATGATCATCATGTCCTCCACCTCCACCAGGGGTACGCAGTCCACCAGCATCCTGCCGGGAGGGGGCACAGGAGTGTTTGTCAGCTCCGGCCCCACCTCCTGCGGCAACCCCTCTACTCGAAGGTCTTTCCAGTGCAGCAGCCTGCGGGTCTTCCATAAATTCGACTCCTGATCAATTGAATGGGGGAAAAGCCTTCTAGGAAGGCGGAAACCCCAGGCCCCACCCACCCACGCCTGGAGGCACCCTGGTAGGGAGCAAGGCCAGGCAAATGGAGTAGAAAGAGGAGATCCCTGCCCCATCTCCAATGTCCAGGCCCAGGGACCTACTGCAGGGTTGCGGTCTCAACCCCTAACCCTGGTGAGGTCCTGACTTCAGGACCTTATCTCTGGCGGGCCGCCTCCTTCTCAGTCTCAAAGGTACACTCTAGCTGGCAAAGACTTTCAGGTGGACCGTGGTACCCCAAGGGCTGCAAATCCTTCTCTGCATCCAGGACCACTCCAGTGACCTTCTGAACCCTGGATTATCTGCCAGCTCCCTGGCCTGGGACCTCCTGTAGAGCAGTTGGGAACCCCCATCTGCCTCAAGGGACATCCCTGTTGTGCGAGATGGAGGCCAGGGAGGTGTATGTATGTGTGGGAGGCAGTTCTTTAACAGGGGGGCACAGATGAGTGTCCCAGTCAGTACACACTGGACCATTAGCATCACACTTGGGGCCAGGACACCCTGCTGACCATCCTCCAGGGTGAGGTGGTCATCCTCCAGGTGACCCTCCTGGGTCTTCCCAACCCAGGGATTGAACCCAGGTCTCCTGCATTGCCAGTGGGTTCTTTACCAGCTGAACCACCAGGGAAGCCCAAGAATACTGGAGTGGGTAGCCTATCCCTTCTCCAGCGGATCTTTCTGATCAAGGAATCGAACCAGGGTCTCCTGCATTGCAGGCTAATTCTTTACCAGCTGAGCTACCAGGGAAGCTCACAGAACAGTCATTCGTTTCCAGCTCCGCAGCTTAGTAGGTGCAGGACTGGGCCTGATGCGATCCAGGCCCCCAGCCCTGGATGTTGGCACCTGCCTGGGGCCCCCTTCCTTCCATATCGCAGGAGCCCTCTCCCCACTCTTAGGGGAGTGGGCTGCAGCTACTAAACAACTGGCAGCCCCAGGGCTCAGAGATAGAGCGTGTTCCCTGGCTCCATTTCCCCTCCCTTCCTGGAGCCAGACCTCTCCTGCCTCCCTCCCATGTGCCACGCCTGGCATACAGTTACAGTTAACACTGTCACTGTTGTGAAGTGAGTTTCCTTTGGCAGGGAGGGCATAAGGAAAGGAATTGTTCCTGTTCCCAAGACACCCAAGGGCCCAGGACTACCTGCCATCTTGTGCCTTCAAGGTCAGACCCTCAAGGTCAAACCATGTAAGGGCCAGGGCCCACTCTCCTCTCTCCAGGACTCCTTCAGGGAAGAAGCCAGGAAAGCAGGGGACCCGTTTCAGTGTAGGCTCTACTCCCGGCCAGCTGTGGAAGCTAGAGCAAACCCTGTCCCATGACTCAGTTTCCCCATCTTTACAGCAACAGCATAGTCATTCTTTGCCTCATCTGAGTCCTTGGAAGCACCGAGAATGAGTGAGAGGTTCCTGACTCTGTTGCTGATGTGTTATGTGCCCTGGGGGTCGTCTCTGCCCCAGACTGGGCCTGTTCCAGCTGTACTGTGGTTAAGAGGCAGCCTCTCTCTGTAGCTTCTACCAGCTGCGGCTATCTCCCCGGGTATCCTGGCCTTTCCCATCGTGGAGCTCCCTCCCACCTCTGGTGTCTTCCCTGGAGACCTTATAAAGCCATTGTTTACACCGGGGCTCACGGCACAGGGCTCTGGCTGCCCCAGTGACAGGCCAAACACCAGGCAATCCGAACAACAGCACGGCTGAGTCACACTTTCCAACTGGAACGGGGCCGGACTGGGCCCCTCTCCCTTCAGGCTGGCCTGCTGGGCAGCAGCTCCTAAGTCCATATATGACCTGGAGACAGCACCATGCCCATCCTCCGCTCACCTGCACGGCTTCTTTGAATCTATGTGTGCATGTGGCGGTGGCCCCTCACAATGGCTCCAGGCCCCGAGGGGCATCTGGGTGCATTGCGAGCTCTGCCCCTGATTCACATTGCTTCAGGCAATCCCTTTCCTCCCTCTGAACCTTTTGTCTTTTCTTCTCTCTACAAAATGGGTGGGAAAAGGGATGGGGCCAGGAAAAGAGCCACAAGGTGGGGAGTTTGGAGTTCCCGTTTCCGGCCCCGGCTCTGACCTGCCATCCCCTGGCACACTCTTTAAGTCCACTTCTCTGTTCTCTTCTCTGAGCTCCTGGTCTGTAATGGGCAGTAAGCTCAAGATATGCATTCTCTACTGTGGCCCTGATGTGAGGTGACCAGACAGGAAATGTCACGGCTGGTTTGGGGATCCGGGACCTCCACCAGAAACATCTTCCTGTTAAACTGGCCTTGCTCCTGAGCCTCTCACCATGGAGCATGGCACAACCAACCCCCCAGTGCACTAGCTGGAGGCCTGGGACCCTCCCCCTTCCGCAGTGGATCCATCAAAACTCCTACCTCTCTAGTTAAGCTTCTCTAGCTGGTTAGTCCATCCCCTCCCTCCCTGTCCTTCACCCAGGCCTCACCAAGATTGTTCTAAAATGCTACCTACATCTCTTCTCTGTTTGAAGAGCTTTTACAACTCTTGTCTTCAGAAGGAAGCTCAGACTCCTGAATATGACCCCTTCCTCCCCCTCACACCCAGACTAAACAAACATCCTTCCCTGCCTGGGTGTGCCATGCCCTCCGCGTCCCTCAACCCCACCCCTGGGCACTTGGCTGACCCCTCTGCCCGGGACTTCCTCTCCCTCCTTTAGCCTGAATTTGGAATTCTGATGCCAGCTTAGTGTGCACTTTTTCCAGCAAGCTGTCCTAGACCCCGCTGGATGGGTCGGGTGGCTCCCCACTGGGATCCCATGGCCTCCTGGGCTTCCTCCAGCTCAGTCCTGCCCATCTTGGTCATCACTGCCTATTGAGAATGGTCTCATCTGCAAGGTACTGAGCAACCAGAAGATCAGGTTGTGTCTGGCTCCTTCTGGCTCTTCTCAGGGCCCCTCTGCTTCCCCCACAGCCCCGACCTCCCCGGCTTCTCTCTGTGCCCCCATCGAGCAGATCCAGCGTAACAGGGCAGGCGAGCAAGGCGGCGTTCCTCACCGTGGGGCCCCGAGCAGAGGTTAGGACTTTTTGGTTTTTACCAGCCCCTTCTGGACCAGACAGCGGTAGAACTCCTGGATGTACGTGTACACGCACTTCCAGTCAGGCTCTCGAAGCCGCACCATGTCCTCTGTGTCCAGGAGCTGCGGGCAGTCCGCATGGGTCCTGGGGAGGGTAGGGGGCCGGGAAGGGGCGGGGGGGGGGGCGGGCCCGAGGGGGCAGCGGGGTGGGGGGAAGAGGCAGAGAAGAGAGCGGGGAGAACAGAGACACACACGTACACACACACACAGAGACATGAGTTCAGTTACGTTCTCGGTGCCGCAGTCTGCCAGCCTCCCGCATGCCCCCTCCCCACCGTGGACGTGCCGCTCACTACCCGTTCACTAATGGTGTGCGATGCAGACAGGGGTGGGGGCCAGATCAGTCACAGGTGCAGAGAACTCTCGGGGCAAGCGGGAGGGAACGGGGGGGGGGGTGGGGGCGATGGCATTGGCGCCGGGGTTGGAGAGGAGGGCTGTGCCCCGGGGAGCGGGGGTGAGGAAGGCGTGAGAGGAGGTGGAGGTGGGGGGAGGAGGAAGAAGAAATTTGGGGGGAACTAGAAAGAGAGAGGGAGAGGAGGAGAGACAGGTGGAGGAGGGTGCTGAGGGTGAGGTGCGCAGTCGGGGCAATGATTCCAAAGTGGAGGGCTTGCGGAAGTCCTATATAAGCCTCTGGCAACACCTATATAGGCTGGGCGGGCACGGTGCCCGGGCCAGGAGCCTCCTTTTGGAATCTCCAGCCGGGGTCCCGTGGGAGCAGGAAGCTCTGGTGATAGTGGGAGGAAAGCAGGACAGAGAAAGGGCAGAGAGAGAGGGAGAAGGGGGCAGACGGAGGATGGAGGGGATACGGACAGGGCCACCTGGTGGGCCGTGGCCCGGGCTGGTAGGTGGGCCTCTGGCTCCTTCATTCCGGCGGGCACCTGGCACGCTCAGCAGCAGGTGGGTGGGGTGGGAGAGGACGGGGGCTTTCTGGGGGAGGGGGGGCTCAGCTTCTGAATGACAGTGGGCCTGGCCAGCTCCACGGAGCCTCGAAGCGGCTGGGCCTGGCGCAGATCGCCCAGCCCCAGACGCCTGGCCGACACCAGCAAGGTGCCAACAACCACACTTACTCGGCGGATGAGAAGGCCACCTCGAAGTTCTGACGCCGGTTCTGTGGGCTGAGCTGCCCATAGTCGAAAGCCTCGGGGAAGAAGTTGTGCACCAGGGCACAGAAGGCCATCCCGTCACTCCAACTCGAGGAGAAGTTCTGGATGTCCACATGCTATGGGTGGTGGGAGGACCTGTCAGCGCCCCTATGCCCTCCACCTGCTGGTGTTTTGGCATTCCAGATATAGGGCAGCTGAGCTCAGAGAGGCTCTGGAGCTTGCCAAAGGCTGCACAGTAGGTGGGCAGTACCTCCTCCCACTGTTTGTTAACTCCTGTATCTGCTACTTAGTGGGCCAGAGTGACCAAGAGGCCCAGCACCACCCAGCTGAGGCCATGGTCATGCCCTCGTCACTCTTTCCCTGATGTATAGACATTTACCCAGTGCACTGGCAGAGCAATGAGGGGGAAGACTCCAAGAGTGGGGTCTGGTCCTGAACCCTGCCCACCATCCAAGGGCCCTCTCTAGGCCCTGCCACTTTAATCACTTATTCTGGAATCTAGGGGAATCTAGGGCATGTTATGAGGCTTCCCTGGTGGCTCAGATGGTGAAGTATCTGCCTGCAATGCGGGAGACCCAGGTTCAATCCCTGGGTCAGGAAGAGCCCCTGGAGAAGGGAATGGCACCCCACTCCAGTATTCTTGCCGGGAAAATCCCATGGACAGAGGAGCATGGAGGGCTACAGTCCACGGGATCACAAAGAGTCAGACATGATTGAACGCCTCACACACACACACACACACACACACACACGGCCTGTTGCGTGTCACAGAAGAGGAATTCCCACCGTCCCTGCCAGACACGGTGGCTGTGAAGGGTACAGCTGCAGTTGGGGGACATATGGGGGTGGGGAGGCCCTCACTAGGCCACCTGGCCTCCTAGGGCTCACCTCGTAGCCACGCGTCTTGGCTCGGCACCAGTCTAGCAACATCTGCTTGATGCTGTTGGCATTGGGGACCCCGAAGCTGGTGGAGCGCTGCACAGCCGCGCGGGGTCCGCCTGGGCTGCTGCAGGATCCATGTCGGGAGCCAGGTTATAGTGGGCACCTTCTCCGTCCGCCCACCTTTACCTTCATGCCCCGCCCGCCAGAGCCCAGACCCCGCCCCGTGTGATCACGAGGCCCCGCCCACCAGAGCTCAGGTCCCGCCCCATGTAGTCACGAGGCCCCGCCCTGCCCACTGCGGCTCACCCTGCCGCGCCTTCCTTCTCCAACTTCTCAATCATAGCCTTGCGCGCCTGGGACGCTGAGGTTCTGGGCAGGCTCTGCGCCTTCATCAGCTCTTTCTTCTTTTCTGCCTGGCGTTTTTCCAGCGCCGCTAGGCCGCCAGACCGTGGGCTGGCCTCATCCTCCCGGTCGAAGATACTGAGGGGTGGGTAAGCGACTGTTAGGGCCCAGGGGAGCCACTCTGTGCCTCGACCGCGACTCGCCAAGGGCTGGTCACGCTCCAGACCCTACTCTCTTGCGGCATCTCCACCAGCGGCAATGCCAGCCAGCAACGGAGGGGCTCCCATCACACGCGTTTTACAGAGCAGACTGAGGCTCAAAGGAATAGAAAGTAGGAGCCAAGCTCTTTTCAACAGACTTGGCCCCTGGGGAGTTCTCTTCCAAGGCTCATTATATCCTCAGGTTGCAGGTGTGCTCCCATTCCGGGCACTATCAACTAATAATGACCACCAACGTGCTAATAGTAATGGTAACAATAATAACAGCTCGTGTCTCTTGAGCTTTTTCTACGTGTCATTTAAAATTTCACAAGGGTTAGGGTGGGCTTACCACTTCCACTGAAGATGAGGAAATGGAGGCCTGTGGCCTCAGATTTCAGAGGGCACAGGGAGCGGGACCAGTGCAAGGACTTGAACACAGGTCTCTGACGCAGAGTCTCTGGACCCCTGCAGTACCCAGCCTGAATTCTTGACCCTACCTGCCCCAACATCCACTGTAACATAGGCGTACCCCTCCTCCACGGGGTTAAGATGGAAAGATGCTCTCTGTGACATGGGACGTGATCTGCAGACACTGGAAAGTAGCTCAGTGTGCTGGGGAGGCCTCCCTAAGACCCCAAGCAAATCGTTGGCCTCCCCCAATGATTTGGTGTGGTTGAGAATTACGTGAAATGGCAAGGCAAGCAGGAGTGTTCTGACTCTCACTCTACGCCTCTCTGGCTGTGTGCCCAACATCTCCCAACACCGTGCTCTACCCATCTGCAGAATGGGCATGCAGCGAGGTCCCGTGCGGCACTGACTCCCCCATGGTCTGGGAGCAGGTACCTGTGCTCACCTGCCCATCTTCTTGGATGATGAAGAGGAGAAGGTCTTAGTTTGCATCACGGTGCTGCCACCACCATCTGCAAGAGAAGGAAAGGGCAGCACAGTGAGGTCCCGGGCTGGGAGATGGGCGGGAGGCTGGTGGAGGGATGCAGGGAGCCACAGGCAGAGAAGAGAAAGTGACGGCTGGACAGAGAGACACACAGACGAAAGTTCGGAGAGACAGTTCGAGGAGGAGCCTGAGGAGGTGGGCTGGCAGGCAGGCGCGTGGAGACGCCCGGTGGCCTTACTCTCTGAGCGCCTCACAAAACTTGACTCCACTGTGGTGGTGCGGGCCGTCCGTGTGCCGTCATCTGCATGGGCAGGGGTGAGAGGAAGGGTGTGAGCGGCGGGGTGGCGGGGCCGTGCGGGGGACGCGATCCCGTCCTGAGCCCGGCTTGGCCCCTTACTGGATTGGACGAGCCGCTCGGTCTTGGTGACTGTGCTGACGGCGGAGCCGTCGGCCGTCTGCTGGCTGTGCCGCGTGGTGGTCTTGGTTGTTGTGTTGCCGCGGCCCTCCCCTGGCCGGGCCCGGGCCTCTTGCAGCCGCCGTTCTCGGTCCTTGTCCCGCTGGTCTGGGTGGGGGATGGTCCCACGCATGCCCCAGAAAGGTCACCATCGCCCACACAGCACATATGCACGGGCACATGGGGCACACAGATGGGGTGGGGGGCAACTCGTTAGCAACACTGAAGACACGGGGGGCAAGGGCCCTCTCTGGGAGTAGCTGCGGCGGGGAGGAGGGAGCCATGACCTGGGACGGAATGGGGGTGTGCGATGCACTCGGAAATGAGGAATAGCTCAACTTGAAGGGGGACAGTATGTGGATCCAAGAAGGGAGTGTCTGTGCGAATGAGTAGCTGAGTCTGGGAGGGAGTATCTGCAGTTAAGGGAGGGAGTAGCAGGGTCCACGGAGGGCAGCAGCTGCGGGGGCCTTCAAACAGGTCTTAGCGGGGAGAAGAGCAGCTAGAGGAAGTCCACGGACGGAGTCATTGGAGGTAGCTGAGAAGTCATTTGATCCAGGGACAGGGGAGTTGGGAGAGAAGCAGGCAAAGGGGGTAACTGGGCCTAGAGAAGCAGCAGGTGGGTGGGCATAAAGGCTGGCCAGCCATCTGTGGGCCCTGCAGGAAGCAGCTAGATCCAGAGAGGGAGTAACTGAAAGAATCTGGAGAAGTAAACGAGACTAGAAGCTGGAAGAAAGAAGAGCTGGGTCCGGGGGGGATGTAGCTGTGCCCCAGGAAGAAGGCAGAGCCCAAGGTGGTCATCGGTGGACCTTGAGGAGGGAGAAGCAGCTGGAAGGAGAAGTATCTGGATTCAGGGAAGGAGCAGTTGAGAGAACTTGGAGAAGCAACTGGATCCAAGCAGGAGTTTCTGGGGGAGAGAGTGACCAGGGTCTAGGAGGGAGAAGAGAAGCTGCCTCTGGGTCTGGGAAGCAGGAGAGAAGCATCTAGAAAACAGAACCGCTGGATCCAGAGGAAGGAGGCCAGGCAAGAGCCGGGTCCAGAAAAGGTGAAGCTGAGTCTAGAGAAGACACTGGGGAGGGCGTTACTGAGCTCGAGTGTCCATGAATGGACCCCAGTGAGGGGGGCAGCTGGACCTGGGGGCGGGGTGGGGGCACTGGGCTCTCTACCTCTCTTCCTTTGTCGGAGCTCACGCAGTGCAGCCCGGATGAGCTTCCGCTCCTCAAAGTCCGTAGTCTGATCCAGCTGCAGACAGAGCCCCCATCATTGCCCACCTGGTGCCTGCCTGCCCCAGCCCCCTGCCCACCCCCAAGTCCACCAGATCCGGCCATACCATCTTGTCCAGGACACTCTCATCCTCGATGGCCATCAGCTCCTCGGCGCTCAGTGGGCTCCGGCTCCCTGGTGCTTTGTCCACTCGGGTCTGCTCGGCGCCATTGGCCACCTCCACTGCTGCAGAGGGGGGCTCTGTTGGCTCCGGCTCCATCTGCAGAGAGGGGCAAGGGTATGGGTTACAAGCAGGCCTGCAGATGAAACCATCTGTGCCTCCAAAGGACAGGAGACCAGGCCCTGGGGCTGCTGGCACAGCCTTTGAAGTACCACTAGCCAGCTGGACCACCTGCCCAAGGATGGCCATGCTGGTGTGAGGCTCAGGGACGAGGCACTGAGACCTTTGTCGTTGGGCTTCCCGTGCACCCAGAACTGTCGTGATACAATTGAGGGTGGCGATAATGGCGATTTCCATTCAGTAGTGAGCACTGTGTGAACACTGGGTATTTTAACAGAAGGGAAAGCTGAGGCTCAGGGCAGCTGTGGGACTTGTCCCCAGTCTTTCTGGAAGTGTGACGCGGCCTGGGGTCTGAGCTGAAGCCTAACCCCTGAACCCGAGTTCCTTCTGCCGCTTCGTTCCCAGCCCCCTCCCAGGCAGGCTGTGCCCTGTCCTGCCCGTACCCAAAGCCTGGGTCCTCCTGGGCCAGTGCCCAGGCAGCACGTGTCCCCCGTCCACAGGGTGAGGGAGCTGGACCAAGGCCCACAGGCTCCTGACCAGGTGTCTGACCAGGGCTGCCCAGAGCCAAGTCCTCTCTGGAGGTCGCCCTGCTCGCCTCCCCCAGCACGTCACCCCCTCAGGGGCCTCTGCAGTCCCAACCTAGCCCGCTACCCATCCCAGGGCACCCCCCCAGACCCCATGCAGACAAGCCCCCCGCCCAGCTATCACAGCCCCATCCCCTCCTGGCAGGGCCCCTTGGTCTGCGGTAAGGGTAAGGAGAGACGAGGTGGCAGCTGCTTCGGGGAGGCTCAGCCTGGCGGGGGCAGGGAGTCGGGGTGGGGCTGGGGGCTGGGCCCCGGCCAGGGGCTGCCAGGGCAGCCGCCACGCGTGCCTCAGGGCCAGGGGCATGGCACCATCTCGCCTGAGCCTTGGAGCACCGGTGCCGCAGTCCCTTGTACAGACAGGGAAACTGAAGCTCAGAGCGGGTGGTGGCACACCCAAGGTCCTTCGGCAAAGGCTGAGCCTGGCTCAAAACCACCCCCTCCCGGCAGTCCATGGGGACTTACGAGGCTGGCGCTGTGGGCAGGGCCGGCAGAGGAGCGGCGGCGGGTGCTGAAGGCAGGCGGGTGGGCGACGGGGGTCCCGGCATCCTCGGCCGCCTGGAACAGGGCCTCGGGGTCCGCGGCGGCCAGGAGCAGCTCACTGGGCTCCAGCTCGGGCTCAAGGTCGGGCGCCAGCGGGACCCCCAGCCGCAGGCTCAGCACCTCCACCTGCCTGCCCAGCGCGTCCAGCCGCCGGCTCAGCGTGGCCGTCTCCGCCCGCAGCTCTTCGGCTGCCCGGGCCACGGGCTCCACGGCCGAGGCTGCTGCTTCAGCAGCCTGGGTCACCGCCGCCCGACCTGCCTCAGCCACCACCCGCAGCTCCTCCAAGGCCCGGCCCAGTCGCTCCTCGAGGGCTGCGGCCAGCTCCGAGCCTGGCCCTGGGACCCCCGGCATGGTGCTGTGCAGTGGGATGGCGCTGGGGACAGTGCTGGGGACCGCCGCTCCTGGCTGGCCGACTCAGGCTTTGCAGCTGGTCCTGAGGGCGCAGGCAAGGGCAGCAGGCCTGCCCCGCCCCTGCTGGCCTCCCGGCCTGCCGCCCGCCAGCTGGGGCTGTAGCCCAAATAGAAACCTATTCTGGGCTCCCTCTGGAGGGGGGCTGTGGGGGGAGGGGCGGCCTGCTCAAGCAGGCGGACCGCCAGGCCTGGCCCTGGCCCTGCAGAGATCGCAGACCGGCGGAACAGCAAGGCTGCCCAGGTGCTGAAGGCCTGCCTATGCCCCGTGGGTGGGGAGACGGAGGGAGGGAGCAAGGCACGGGCCTGTCTGGGCCCCCGTGTGCATGAGCTGAGAGGACCCAGCCTGCCAGGCTCCAGACGCCTGCATCCTCTGCTCGGCCCTCATGCCATGCCGCTTTAGAAAGCCTCGAGCAGGCGGGGCCAGGACTTCGTGCAATCTGCTGCGGCGAGTGCCTGGTCCTCTGCTGGCCTCTGGCGCTCAGATCCAACCACAGCTTTGAGCAGGTGCATCCCAGGCGCACCATCTGCCTCCCTTTGGTTCTGGAGGGGGACGCTGAGGCCAGTTGGTGGTCTCAGACCCCAGGCCCCTTGCGGTGCCTCCCATCACCCCCAGGGCCTCAGACACCCTGTCCTCACCTCCTTGGCAGAGAGTTGTTTAAGTGCCAACCTGGAAGGGGAAGGGTGCTTCCTGCCCCTGCCCTCTCCCTGTCACCCCTAAAGCTGGCTCTGTTCCCTCTCACTTTGAAGTCCCACTCAGTCTCTGGAGCAGCACTGAGGCCATTACCTGAGCAGCCGGGTGGCTCACTGGGGATTCCTTTCCCCGCAGAGCTTCCAGCCAGCTGACGCTGGGCTCCAGGATGAATAATGGAAGGGTGCGGCGGATTCAGTTCCCGAGGCACCTACTCGGCTGCTGCCTCACCTGACTGGCACCCCCCTGCCTGTGCCCCCATCGGTGCTTCGGCCCAGTCTCCCCTCCCCCGAGATGCTGACGCAGATGGCAACCGCTAATCTCCAGTCTCCCAACGGGCCAGGCTGATCTTGGATGAGCAGATGAGCAGCTCTGCACCTCGGGGCTGAGGTCCAGCGCAGGGTTGGAGCAGGGCCCCTGGGGCGGCTACAGGATGGGGGTGGGGGGGTGGGGGGGTGGCGGGGCAAGCCCTCACCACCCTCCCTGCCCTCAGTTTTCCCATCAGTTCATGAGGAATGCACTGGCCAATTCTGGAGGAGGGGCCAGAGATCATCACGTGGGAAGCTTAAGGCCGGTACGCGGTGAGCTTCCGATATGCCTAGTGGCTGACTGGCGAGGGTCTGGCCTTAGCTCTGCCACCAACTGGTTGTGGGCTGTGGGCACCTCCTCTGGGCCTCGGTTTCCCATGTGTGCAGTAGGGGAAGGGCCTGGCGAGCCCTAACATCGGAAGCCGTCCACATGAGGCGGATGATGGGGAGGCTGGTGGGGTGAGGAGGAAGGGCTCACCTTTATGCTGCAGCCTCCTCGGCTACCCAGGGAGGCAGGGCTGAAGCTGGTGACGTGAGTCACGCTGCCCAGCCGGGCTAGGTTCCCAGGGCTGCTGATATGGGTGATGGTGCTCTTGCCCCCACTGCTGGGGCTAAGGAGGGTGGGGGGCGCCCGCAGCCCCAGCGTCAGTTCTGGAGGGGGAGAAGGACGACCATCAGGATCAGGTGGGGTGGGGGCGACTGCCAGTCCAGGCTGATGGCGCCCCTGGTTCCCAGCGCACCCTCTGGAGACACCCTGAGCCCTGGCCACAGGACATGTTCTGTGTGTGGAGCTGGGCGGCCACAGACGGGCATCCCCGGCAGTGGGGAGGCAGCGGGGAGGCCTACCTGCCCTCTGGTTGCCCGTGGGCAGCAGCACCCGGCCTGTGGAGGCCTGGCCCCGGCCATCCTTGATCTCGATGGTGAATGTGGTCTTCATACTGGCCCCTGGCTCGGCGGTGCCCACGGCCACGGGCAGCGGGGCGCTGGCCTCTGAGCGGGCCACGGGCCCCCCTGCTCTGTTTTCAAGGGACCTGACGGCCAAGCCCCGCCCCCTGGGGCCCTCCTCCCGGGGGCAGCTCTGAAGCTGGGCCAGGGGCCGGGCTGTTCCCCGCGAGGAGGGGCCACTGGAGGAGGAGAAGGAGGCGGCAGGGGTGGTGCTGGTGTGGGAGGGGCCTGGGAGCCTGGCAGGGGTCGAGGGACCGAGGGCCGCGCGGGGCGGGCCTTCCTGGAGCCCCGTGGCCGTGGCCGTAGGAGATTCGGATGTGAACTTGCGCACGCGGTCCCGGACGGAGCCTGCCCGCTGGAACAGGGAAGGTCCGCTAGCGAGGGGGGTGGGTTCTAGACGGGACGGGGCAGGCCGTCAGTGGTTGGCTGGGACAGGCACTGCCCAGAGCCCAGGGCTGGGGGAAACAGGCAAGTACCTCGGTTCTGGGCTGGCTGGCGGGGGCTGAGCACAGACAGGGAGCGTTGGCAGGGACGAGGGTCGGCCAGGTCTGGCAGCGCGGGGAGGCAGTAGCGGCCATGTAGGGGGGCAGAGAAAGGAGAGTGGACGGTGGGGACCACCTCTTGCAGTCCTTTCTTCCACACCCCCTCAGCCTACCAGCCCATCCTGCAACTCCCACAGCTCCCAGCTTCCCGCTCAGCTGCGTCTCTCTCTCTCTCTCACAGGCCACTCCTCCCGCTCCAGGTCTGACCCCAGGATGACTTGGACACTCCCGGGGGCTGGGGCTAGGGTTGGGCCAGAGGAAGGGTGCCCAGATCCTCCCTGCCGCTGGGGAAGGGGGACACTCCCCTGGCCAGCACTGCCCACAGCTCCAGCTGGGAGATGGGTGCACTCCCTTATTGGGGAAAAGAATGTGCCTGAGGCCTGTTGCCTTTCAAGGCTGCAGGAGAGCCTCTGGCCATGGGTGGGGGGGAGTGGGCTGGGCGGGGGGCGGGGACACCTTGGGGGCAGTGGGAGGAGGCAACGTCAGAGAGGGCCTGGACCCGAGGGTGCTGGAGCCATCCAGGCACCACAACCCATTTTGCAGGCAGGGAAGGGGAGGCCCGCGCTGTCTCTGCTGCTGGAACCCTCACCTGCTCTCTTTGTGTCGGAGCGACCTTTGGTGGGGCCTTGTGCGGCAGGGGGCTCTGTGGGGCCGGGTGGGAGCTGCAGGGGAGACACGGTGTGGGCAGGGGCCTGACTCCCAGACCCGGGAGCTCACCTGCTTGGCAACCCCGCCCCTCATCCCGACTCACCTTGTCGACCACCTGCCCGTCTGTGCTGTGGGTGGCTGGAGGCTCCTGGGGCTCAGGGCTGGCGACCCTGGGCGGGCTTGGGGGAGGCTCGGGACTGCCCAGAGCCTCGGGGGCAGGGCACGCGGCCCCCTCGGCAGGCTCCAGCGGAGGCTCAGGAGAGGTAGTGGTGGGCGAACTGTCGGCTGAGGCAGGTGGGCTGGGTGTGTCCCCGGGTGGGACACGCAGCAGGAGCGTCACCGTGGTCACATCCCGGCTGGTGCCGCTGGGGGTCAGGGTTGGCTCTGGGACCTCCACCTGCTGCTTCTGTTCCTCTGGCTTTGGCACCTGCGGGAGGCCCACAGGATGCGGCCAAAGCTCCCTAGGCTGGCAGCTCCCCGGGCAGGGCATGCAAAGCAGCAGGGCTGGGCATGGCTTCCTGCAAGTGCACCTGCACAAGCGTGGTCGCTGGTGCACCACGGGCGGTCTCTGATCCTCACTTCCCAACCTCTTGGCACTGCCTGGCCACAGGAAGTTCAGAGAGCACCAGATCCTGATGCCAGGGGTTGGGGACAGCAGGAGACCTACTGGGGACTCCCAGACTTAACAGATTCCTCGATTGGAGACCCCTGATCCCTGGCCTCAACCTGGTTAACCCGTGGGGTAGGGGGCTTCCCAGGTGGCGCAGTGGTGAAGAATCTGCCTGCAATGCGGGAGACGCGGGTTCGATTCCTGGGTTGGGAAGATCCCCTGGAGGAGGGAATGGCTACCCATTCTGGTATTCTTGCCTGGAGAATTCCATGGACAGAGGAGCCTGGCGGGCTACAGTCCACAGGTTCGCAGAGTTGGACACGACTGAGCAGCTAACACTAGGGGGCAGTCCTGCCAGGTCGAGGGACCCAGTGGTCTCTACTGGGCCTGACCTTACCCACACGCCCTGGAGAACAGACCCTGCAAACAGCTGGGGCCTGAAGGCGGACCCGATGAGCCAAGGTAAGGATGTGGACTGTCTGAAGCAGGAGGGGTGGCCACGGACGGTCTAAGCTGGGCCGGAGCCCGGGTCTGATTTGCATTTCAGGGAGATCCCCGGTCTGCTGAGCGGAGGCTGGATGGCTAGTGTGGGGTGGGAGGTGGGCCTGGGAGCAGGGAGGCCAGCAGGGTGGTAATGGGAGACAGACAGGAGCCTGGGAGCAGTGCAGATAACCTGGTTTTGCTGGGAAGGCCTGGGTAGAGGTGAACTCTGGAGTGGGGACATGTCACCAGAGCTTGCCTGGGAGAGTGGGGCAGAGGCCTGAGATTAGAGCCCCAGTGTTCCCCAAACACAAGCTGGGCAGCCCCCCCCAACAGTGAAAGACACACAGGAGCCCTGTGGTGCTGGCATCGCTGGGCCCAGGACCTGGCCCACGCCCCTTACCTCACACGGCTCCAGCCTGTGTGCTGCCTGTGCCTGGCTGTCCTCTCTTGAGCCACTGTTGGGACGCCCGCTGTACAACCTTCCAGCTAAGGTGGCGGCTGGAAGGGAAGGGAGAAGTGTCAGGTGAGAGGCCAGGGGGCGGGGGGGCGGGGGTGGAGGGGTCACTGAGGGCAGCGTGCAGCGGGGCCGGGGTGGGGCAGGGCGGGCGCGTACCCTCGATCTCCTGGGCCCGCACGCGGCGGATGGCGGCTCGGATCAGCTTGCGCTCCTCGTACTCCGCGGCGCCCCGCAGCTGTGGGTGAGCGGTGGGCCTCAGGTGTTGGGCTGTGAGTCCAGGTCTTCACTGGCTCGGTCCCCTCCCTTGTCCCTGGCCCAGGACTCACCAGTGCGGTCAGCTCCTCCACATCATTCATGGACTCCAGCCGTCCTGCCAGCCGTGCCAGAGCAGCCCGCTGCTCAGCCTCCCGCTGCTGGGAGCTGTGGGGACACCATGACTGGTCACCTCCGCGGCCAGGGCCGAGTCCTGGTGGATGTGGGCTGAGGGTGGAGGCCAGGACAGGGTACCCGGAACCTCGGCAGAGGGGCAGGTAGCTGCGCACACCCTCTGGCTACACGCTGGCACATGCACGCCCAGGGACCTGAGCACTAATACCACACAGGTGTGGCCAGGCACGTGGCCCACGCCCGCAAACATCCCTGTGTGCTACTCCAAATGCGTGCCCGTGCTGCCGTGTGCACACCCAGATGGGCAGCAGACACCTGGCTCAGGCCTGCCCGCACAGCACGCGCTGAGCCCTGGCACATCCAGTCCTGCCTGCATGTCCACCCCCTCACAGACACTCACTGTAGCCAGTTCTCCTTGTTGTCCTGCCGCTCGGCGCGGAAGCGCTTGGATGCCAGGGCCTCCTCCTCGCGTTCCAGCTCCTGCCGCTGCAGCTCCCGGATGGCCGAGCGGATGCGCCGCCGCTCTGCCAGATCCGCCGTGACCTCCAACTGCGGGACAGGCGGAGGCGGGGCGGGGGGGGGCAGGGGGCAAGTCATTTTGGCTGCCAGGGGCGGAGGGCGGGCAACCAGCTGCCCACGGCTCGGCCTGGGGCACAATGAGTGGTCTGTCTCGGCTCCCTCTGCCCTAAGCCCGTCACGTGCCTGCCCGCCCACCCAAACCTGGTCTCAGGGGAGACCCGGATGACAGCCAGGGCTTCTGGACGGCCCACCATGCATGGACTGGGCAGCCGGCATCCCACCCACCTGAACCAGATGCCAAGTCAGGCATGCCTTCTTGTGACTTGACTCCTGCCTCTCAGAGCCCTTCATCGAACCCCGAGAGCCACAGAGTCATTCATGGAGGAGGAGAGAGGCCATCCTAAGGGCCCCTAACAGTGTCCCTGGGCAGGGAAGGGTGATTCAGGCTGCTGAAGTCCAGCAGTGAGCAAGGGAGACTCCCACGGTCACGCAGCACCACAGCCTTGCTAACGGGTGGCAGCCTCGTCCATATTGAACAGATGGGGAAACTGAGGCAGGCGCAGGCTGTCAGGAGTCAGAGCTCCCCACCTGGCCGGGGGCTGTTTTTCTCTCTACACTGGTCCAGCTCCAGCCACCATTAAAGAGGCAACCCGTAATGCGAGGGCCAACTCCCCAGAAAGATAAGACAGCTGCACTAGGGTCTACCCAGGGCCCTAGAGAGGGCACCCATGGGGACAGGTGCTCCCACCAGCTTCTCGGCCCGTCCTGTTCCTCCCTGGCAAATAGAAGGTGACTGGTCTAACCAGGTCCAGGAAAGGGCACCTTCTCTGGGCGGTCAGCCAGTCCTATTGCCCCCACCCCCATCCCCCCCACGGAGCCCCTGTGGGAGAGGGGAGAGTGGACTGGCTTAGGGCCCTGAGGACGATAATGGCAGAGATAAGCCCCCAGGGTGGGGCCTGCGCCAGGTGGGAGCAAGTATAAACACAGTGATTTCCTCTGTCCACACCGCCCCGCCCCCCCCCCCCCGCCCCCAAGGGACAGGCCTGGGAACACTACTGCCATGCCTTTTCTGCCTCCTCCACCATCATTCCTTTCTGCTCTCTGGGGGAGTCAGGTGGGAGCGGGGGAGGTTTCAGCGGGGAGTGTGGGGGGCCCAGCTTAGCCATGAGCTCACTTGTACCAGTCTGAAGAGAGCAGAGACAAGTGACAAGAGCCCCCCAGGGAACCTTCAGTCTTCACATCCTGAGGAGCTATGGGAGGGTCCCTGGAGGCTCAAGACAGGGCCCCCCAGCTGGCTCCAGCCCCAGTTGATCTCGGTTGGGTGGTCAGAATCATATCCTCAACTTTTCTGGTCTTGGCTTTCTCACTTGTCAAATGGAACAATGGCCCCCCTTCGGGGCAGTTGGTGGGGATAGGGGAGGTGACTCAGGGTCCTGCACCTTGCAGAGCTGTGTATGGTTGATTCCAGAGACAGACAAGAGGGGAGACAGAAAAGTGAGGTGACTGAGGACAGGACCCCCAGAGGCATCTATAACGTTTACTGAGCACCTGTGTGCCAGATCCTGTGCGGAGCCCCATACCTGTTCTAACTTCACAGAAGCCCTGGGCACTCTATTACTCCCATTTGACAGATGAGGATACTGAGGCTCAGGGAGAAGTGATCTGAGCTAGGGTTTGCACCCAGGTTTCCGTGACTCTGGGGCCTTCCCTGGGCCAAGGATAGCTTTGTGACTGTTGTCTGTCTGCTACGGTGAGTATCTTGAGAACCCTCATACTACACTGGGGACCCCCTCCAGCCTGGACTGGAGATGCCCTGGGGTTTAAGGGAGCCTATTATGTGGGAGGGGGTGGAGAATGAGGTGAGCCTCATTCTCCACCCCCAGTCCTGACTTGACTCAGGCCCGGAGCCCTCTGTGGTAAGCAAGGATTTTCTGGGCCTGGGGGGGGGGGGGGGCAGCTGATGCAGCCCCTCCTGTGCAGAGGGTAAAGAGGCTCAGAGATGCAATGAGTCCTAGCCCTTTGCCTCCTGGGTTCCCCTTCCCAGCCCCCTGGAATCCTGAGATGGGGTTCTCATCCTTGAAGAAAGGCTGGTATGGCAACTTCTGCCCACCCCTGGGAGCCTCAGCGTCCCCATCTGGAAAATGGGAGCCTCTGTGTGATCCTCCACGTGGGTGGGGCAGAGCTGGGGAACGGACAGCCCCACCCCACTGGTCACCCTCGCGCATGACCCTTCCCTTTGGGCTTGGAGACAAAGGTCCGCCCACAGTGTCCCTGCTGTGTGTCCCGCGTTCCCCGCCCTCCCCGGCCCCACCGCCCAGAGTGGAGGGAGCTGTTGCTGGGAGGGAAGGAAGTACAAAGCGCCATTGTCCGCCGGGGGAAAGGGAAGGAGATGGGGCGGTTTCCGAAACTGCCCAGTGAAATTCTCCCGGGAGGAAAGAGGGTGCTTCCTCCTCCCAGGGGGCTGGGCCTCTGGGTACTTTGTACTCTGCTGGGGGCGACTGAGCCCCGGCGTCTCCCTGTCCCCACCAGTACCACGGAGGAGACTTTGCAGGAATTCGCTCAGTGCCGACTCCTCCAGGTACGGAAGGGGGACCGGCCGGCAGCGAAGCAAGGTCTCGCCAGAGGGCGCTGACTGCACGCGGGCCGCTCAACCGCGGCCGCCCGCACCGCCCACGCTTCTCCCAAGCAGCCGGGCCAGAGGCGCCCGGCCGGGAGCCAGCCAGACAGGAAGCCCCCCGCCACCGCCTGCTTTAACATCCCCGGCTACGGAGAGGAAACCCAGGTTCGCGGACTTAAGCAGCTTCCGCAGGTCACCCAGCTAGTGTCAGTGCCCCATCTCCAACCCGGGACCGAGGCGGAGGGCGTCCCGGTGTGTGGCGGCGGTGCACGTGGTGTTCGTGGCCCCAGGTGCCCCCTTCCCGCACAGCCCCGCTCCTAGTTCGCAGGCATGTGCGGGAGCCGAGGTCCGGAGGGCATCTCGGGTTCCCCAAATCGGCCCGACGCTGGGGCGCGGGTCAACTTTTCCCTTATAAGGCCCGGCCCCGCGGGGAGGAGCCCGGCTCCGGGACGCCCCCCGTTCCTGCCACGAGGCCGGCGCGCGCGGGGCGGGACCCTCGGTGGCGCTGGGGCGCAGTAATGGCGGGCGCCTGGCCGCGGAGGGCCCGGTCCCGGAATGGGAAGGATCTGAGAAAGGGGGAGGCGGGGTTCGGAGTCCGAGATGAGGGGCGAGGTTTTGCTAGTCCTCTCCCAGGGAGGGGGTCGGGGATGGGCCGCCTACAGCCAACAATCCAGCTTCTCTGAAACCCTTTTTCCAGTACCCAAGCCTGCATGGAGTGGGGCTGGCGGCTGGAGAGCCCTGAGCCTGGGCGGACCCCTAGAGATGGGAGTGCGCGGAGACCTGGCTTTCTCTCCACTACCCAAGTTAGGATTCTGGCTTCCTTCCGGGGAGTCGAGCTGACACGGTGGGAGCCTTTGGAAGCCCATCTCCTTCAGGTTGCACACAGCCGCCTGTGGCGGTGGCAGACACCCAGAGTGTGAGGTGCTGTTCCAGGCCGAGTGCCTTGGGTAGATGATGGCGGTGACTGGGCACTGCCCAGTGACTGGGCTGAGCTGGCTGGCTCCAGCCCCTGCCTCCAAAGAAATGGAATGGGGGTGGGGTGGATCATTTGCCTCCTCCCAGGGAAAGTAAATTTTTAATTTACCCCCTGGACATGGGTCAGGGGCTGAGGGGGTGGGGCTCTGGCCCCTTCTCCTGTTTCCTGCTCTCTGCCCTTGCCGGTGGGCACATACTTGCCCTGCTCGATTGCCCCCGCTGCCTCTCTGTACATGGCGCGGATGTTGGGGGAGGGGCTGCAAGAAGAAGCTAGGGAAAGGGGATGGAGGGGGCCCATCTTTTTCCACACCAAGATCTGGGCCCATGCCTCATTTCATCCTCATGCCAACTGAAGGACCTAGATATTATGTTCACACACATTGCCCCCACCTCCCATTTTACAGATAGAGAAACAGGCTCAGAGTGGGAAATGACAGATTAAAAGTCACAGAGCTCCTAAGGGTCCCCAAGGCCTTGATGAGCTCTTCTGGCCCTGACTTATCCAGGTCTCTTGGTCTCCCATGAACCTCTTGGGGGTTTGTTTGGATCCTGACTAATCCTTTTCCTAGCTGGGTGCTCCTGGGCAGGTGACGTCACGTCTCCGAGCCACAGTGTTCTCCTGGCTCTTGGAGCTGCTGTGGCCATTCTGCGAGATGGTGTGCTTAGCCGCCCAGCCTGCTCCCTGCTATGCCCTGGCGTATTACTAATCATTGCTGCTACTGTTATCATTGGGCCGGCCTCCAGGGGTGGATACTGCCCAGGCTGTTGTTTGGGAGAGGCAAATCCAGCCTCCCCACACCTGTGGCTGCACATGGGCAAGTCCTCACCAGTTACTGTTTAAACAGGTGGTGGCACTGGGGGGCTGGGAGGAACAACCTCAGCACCTGGCATGGACGGGCACATGCCACCAGAACCTCTGCATCGGCCACTCGGAACAGGCCTAGGCGTTTCCCTGAGCCTTCCCCCTGCCCCTCCCCCATCACCTCCTCTTGTCAGCTGAGTGGTATCCTGGACAGACCCTGCCTCTCCGGCCTGGCTTGTCTGTCCTCATAGTAGAGATGATGGGACCACTTACCAGCTTCCGCAGGGCTCCCTCATCCAGCCCAGCTAAGGTTTCATCCGCCATCTTGCTGGCCCCTAGCTCTGTCCGACCCTTCCTGGTGAGTTCCCCAGTGCCTCTGGCACTTGACGCCAGCTCAGGAAATTCTGCAGGGGATAGACATGAGTCAGGCCTGCGGAAGCCTCTAGAAACCATAGGCACTTGGGCTCTTGTGCCTCAGTTTCCCCCTCTAACCCATGATCATCCATTGCTGTCCTATCCTTCTTATCTGTGATGTCACTCCTGGCTGGGAGGTGCCTTCTTCCCTCGGTAGTGTGTGCTGGAAAACTCAACGAACCAAGAGGAGAAGCCCTTAGTTCCAGTCACCTGGACTGCTAGCTTGCTGTGTGGCCTTAGCTGGGCCCTCGCCATATCTAAGCATCAAACAGGGAGGTTAGGGATCTGGATTGCAAAGCCAGGGCCCAACAAGGCCCACTCCAGCTGTGCTTACCACCAGGGGGTGCCCGCCACACTCCACGGCTTCCTGCCCCACCCACCCATCCCCAGGGCCTGCCCAGCCCCCAGTCATCCCAAAAGCTCAGCCTCTGGCTATGGACTAAGCCCATACCCAAGTCCTTGCTGCTCTGGCCACTCTCACTTCCCCAGGTAACTTAAGCCATTGGAGGTAACATCCTGTCTTCCAATTCTTGAGGACAGCCCTCTGCTCACACCCCTCTCCACTCCTCCCCTTCCCGCCCTCCCCCGATGCCAGCTTCCCTGACTCCATGAAACCAGGTGTCTGGACACCCAGCTCCTCCTGCCAATTCCCACACTTAGAATTCAGTTCCGTAGCTGGAAGAGCCTTCAGAAACTGATCCGCCCAGCTCCTGGACTTCGAAAAACAGGATTGGAGAGGGCCAGAGGGTTGTCGTGGGGGAAGGATGATCCCAAAGACCCAGAGGGCAGGGAATGGATTTAATCTTGGCCACCTCTACCTCCTGAAGTCCCCTTCCAAAGTGCCCTCGGGGGCTCAGGGCACTCCCTCTTGCCCTATTACTGTCTCTCAAAATGGCCCCCTAAATCCTGACCCAGCTTCCCAGTGTAACTCTCTTCTTCCTCCTGCAGCCTTAACCTCTTTCTGGAATCTCCAGGGCCCATGGCCTGATACACCAGAGGTGCTCAGCTACTGTATGGTTGTGTACTGTAAGTTGAATCCTGAAATGGCCCCAGGATTGCCTCTGCTCCCGCTGATTCATCCCGCAGTCATCCCTTCCCCCTCCCCAGAACAGTCACTTTTCGAGTCACCTCATCCGGTGAATGGGTCTGGGGGTGTCCTAGTCCACACACTTGGGGTTCGTGGGACTCTGCCTGCTCAAGTTGCTGCTTGCTTCCCCATCCCTGTAGTCTCGGACAGGTGGCAACCTCCCAAACTCCCCCTGCTGGGGTCCTTCATGAGCAGTCACCAGACTTAGGTTCTGTGGACACTCTGAGTTCCCCCACGTTTTCCGAGGGGCAGGGGTCCCTAATGCAGAATCTAGAACTCCCAGGGAGGTCTCTTTCTCCTCAGGAATTCTCGCCGCTGCTTCACTCCAGTCCAATGACTCCCTGTCACACAGTGAGGGGTCCCCAAAGGTTGTGAGGGGCCTCAGAGGAACGTAGGAGCTTCCTCAGGGTTTCTGCCCCCATAGACTTACACTCCTGGAGGTCGTGGAGCTTCCTGGAGATCCGTGAGCGTCTTTACCCCAGGTCTCAGAACTTTTACCCCGTGGCTTAGCGCCCCCGTGGGTGGGTGGGAGCTCCCAGGTCTGAGGGTCCCCAAACCCTGGGAGTCCACATATCCGGGTGCCACCCTCGAACCCGTCGGGGGTCCTGCTGCCACCCGGAGACCCCGCACACCCACCTCTTCGTCTGGTCCGCCCGTCCCGCTCGGGCTCAGGTTAGGTCGTTCGGGATCCAACAGATGGACGACTAGGAGCGGTCAGGCGGAAGGCGCCGCGACCGAGATCCCAGGCCCGCTCAGCAACCGTCCCTGGGATTCTGCTAGCACCGCCTGTCCAGCCGCGCCAGCAGCCCCGAGGACCCCGCCCCGAGTCCCCGCGCCAGCCAATTCCGGGGAGGGTCCCGCCCACCCTCGTGCCCTATTGGGAAAATTCAATTTTGACGGCCACGCCCCTAACGGAGGCCCCGCCCTTCGCGGGCCTTGGAAATACTGGATTGCAGTCTTGGGGCCACCGCTCTTGCAAACTTGGCTGGTCGAGTGGGCGTCGCCAGGAGGTCGCAACTTTGCGCCAAAGTCGGGGAGGGCGCGCGAAACCGGGGTGAGTGGCCCGGGATCGCACTGTTCGCGGAGCCTCTCTCCGCCCTCCTCTTTGTTCGTGAAACCCTGTCCCCTCCTTCAGCTCCGCCCCCTCCTCGCCTCAGTGCCCGGCCGTGGCCGCTGCCCCCAGGCTGCTTTCAGGACACCTGGTCCGGGCCACCTCAGAGCAGCGACTGAGTGGCCGGCGTCACATTGGCCCTACGGGGGGCACCTCAGGGGCCGCCTCAGATGGAGTTGGGTCAGTCACGCGCCTCTTCCCCAGCCCACACACCTCTGCACACACACTCACCTTATCGGTCGCTTCTCCCTGCCAAGCTCCTCCGGGTCGCCCTCTTGCAGCGCTGGGGTTTTAGACTGGGAACTCTAAGTCCAGAATCTCAGTCAGTAAATGGAGGAAACTGAGGCCCTGAGAGAGCCGATGTGCCCAAGGCAACATAAGGGATAAATAAGGGGACCCCAGAGCTCAGACCCCTCTGGGGAAAACTACTCAGTCCCTTCTGCTAGAGATCAGGGTCCCTTCCGCAGGTCTCCATGGAGGCCAAAGGGAGTTGGCGCCTGGGAGGTGGCGTCTGGAGTCCTGTCTGTCAAATAATGACAATAATAATATAAGCTCATTTATTTTGTACTTGCCATGTACCAGGCATATAATCCCTATGATGACTGTTTGAGCCCAAGATTACCGTCTTATTTTACAGTTGAGGACAGGTGATAAGTAGTGGAACTGTGATGCATACCAGCACGTTTTGAATATAGAATCTGCGCTTTTAACCACTGTGATATGGGGTTGTGGGGAAGTGGCTTCAGCCTATTGCATCAGGAGGCTCAGCCCCACTGTCTAGAGCCTCTGTGACCATCCGCCACCACACCTCATCCCCATCTAGACAGAGGGGCAGTATCCACTCTGAGACCCTTTTAAAGACGTCAGCTTATTTCACCCCCACATTCCTGAGAGGTGGTCTCATTTTACACCTGGGAAAACCACAGCGCTGAGAGGGAAGAGACTCCTTTAAGGTCACATGGGAGGAGGAGCAAACAGAGCTCAATTTGGGGGCTTTAATTCGAGCAAGCCGCATCTACTCTCTCTCTAGTTAAACTAGATGTAATTTTTAAAAATAAACTTTATTTTATTGTTACTATTATTATTTTTTGGCCACGTGACTTATTGGATCTTAGTTCCCCTGCCATGAATTAAACCCGGGCACTCTGGCAGTGAGAGCTCAGAGTCCCAATCATTGGACAGCCAGGGAATTCCCAACCTAGATGCCCTTTTATTCTTCAAGAAGGGAATCAGCACCCTCCAAGGCCAACTAGGTTCTATTCAAACCTCGCGCGCCCATTGGAACAGCCCCCTGGGGCGAGGCACAGGTAGGCCACCTGAGTGGCAGCTGTCTGCTCCAATGAATGGCCTTCTTCGTCCTAGCTCCTCTCCCCACCCCACCCCCCCAGCAGGGAGAAACTGCGGGGTGAGTCTCTTTGTGGACTTTATGTGACACTCACGCGCTCACTAGTTCCTAGTAATGCTGAAGATAAGCACGGGTCCCGCCCCTCCGTCAAGCCCTCAGGGCTGGGGTCCTCCTCCATTCTTACTTGCCTTCCCTCCCCATCTGAAAGGGGCGAGGCGAGATGGTGGTGAAATAAAATCAAAGGGCAGCCCGTGAGGTCCTGGAGAAGCTTGCAGACACAGTACAGGAAGGAGCAAAATGTCCCATGAGGAGGACCCTGGTGTTTACTGAGCACCTGTTGCATGCCTGACATGGGATTTACCCGGTTCCAAATTGACCACGGAGCTAGATATGTATTAACCCAAATTCTACAGAGGAGGAAACTAAAGTTCACGGAAGTGAACTGAATGAACTTCCATTCAGTTCAGCTGAATGGCATTCAGCTGGTAATGCCATTCAGACCTGAGTGGAATTCTGCCCCGTGCCAAAGCCTCTTTCGTCTACCTTGCTTTCTCTAGGATTGAGGAAATCGTGGAAGACTTCTTAGAGGAGGTGATGTTGCAAACTCATCCTTGAGGAAGGGTGCAAAGAACTCCATCCCATGGAGAAGAGGGAGAAAGACGTGAAAGGGTATTAGTGGCTAGGGAACAGTGTGAATAAGGCCAGAGGTTTGTAAGTGGGAAACGGAGGCGAGAAAGGCTGTGGATAGAGCAGGAAATGGGGATGGAAGACCTTCCATTTCTGAAGGGCCCTGAATGCCAGGTGAGTAGGGTGAACACTGGGAATCCTGGGCTTCAGTTGGTCCATCTATCAAATGAGGGTCTCGGACCAGCTCACTTCAGGCCCTCCCAGAAAGGGTTCAGATTCCTCTAGGTCCAACTCTGGACTGGCAGAATGGGGAGTGGCTGGAACAGCTTATGGGCCAAGGGTAATATTTTGCTCCAGTCTCTGAGTCTGGAAATAAATATTTTTACCAGGCTGGCAGTGCCAGATCCCTGCATTTCCCTGGCTTCCCCTCCCCCAATCCAGGGTCCTGCAGAGAAAGCCCAGTCCTGGGGTCAAGAGGCAAGAGGAGTGATGGGTTTTAGACCCAGCTGCAGCCCAGGCAAAGTTTTCTTTCCCTTGGAGCCTCAGTTTCCTCATCTGCACAATGGGGGAGTTGTGGCCTGAACTTTCTAAGCCCTCTCCCTATTGACTAGACAACATACAATTCCAAGACTTCCAGGGAGACCCCACCTTGGGAATGTGTGCACAAGTGGCTGTAAGTCCAGTCAAGGCCAAGGCCGTGGGCCTGTCGGAGGTCCAGAGGCTGCTGGGCACTGGGAGGAGCGAAGGGGTTAGAGCTGGGTCAGAGTTGGGCCTGCGCTTGGGGTCTCACTGCCTCATGGGAGTAGGGGGAGAGATGGTGTTTGGACTCCAAAAGTTGTAGAGCGACTTCCTTTGTGGCCCAGCAGCCTTCCAATGCAAGAGGGTGTGGGTCTGATCCCTGGCCTGGGAGCTAGGATCCCACATGCCTCGAGCCCAGAAAAACAAACCATAAAACAGAAGCAATATTTAATAAATAAATAAACGTTGTAGACAAAGAACCCTCACCTGCAGTTTGGCATGTGGAAGAGGTGGGGAGGGGGTACAGCATGTGAAGACAGGAAGGCGGGTGGGACTCTGAGGATTTTGCTGGGGAAAGGTCATGCAGGAGAGGCTGGAGCATGGGGGACCTGGCGAAGAAGAACTGGTTCTTGCTGGGGCTGGCTGGACCCAAGGGCTGTGACCCTCTTTCTCCTGGGCAGAACTGGAGGCCGCCACGGTCATGGCCTGCAGCCCCAGGAGTGGGGCTGGGGATCTGTTTGGCAAACCAGTTTGGCAAGCCGTCTCCTCCGTGATGTCATCCAGCCGTTGTGTTCTCTGCATGACAGGGTCAGATAAACGTCTGGGCTTGGAGGAGAAGGGGGCCTGGGTCCAGGTGCTGAGGGATGGGGAAGGAGTGACGCTTCAGTGTAGGAAACTGGGAGGCAAGTGAGCCCCGGGAAGGAAAAGTGGGCCTGAGACACCCACTGGGCTGTGATGAACCCCAGGAGACCAGCCTCGCGGACAGAGGAGAGGGTTCTGGTTGGGCCAGCCTGGACTTCCTGTGACTTCCGGGAGTTCCCTGATGCCTGGTGTCATCTAGGCTTATCGCAGGGGCCCAGTATAACTGCTGGCCAGTGGGTTGGAACCATGAAAATAAATGAGTGGTAGTTTTATTTTTACTACGAACCTTATGGCTTGAACCCCGGGAGGTAGAACTCCATCACATGCGGAAGAGGAGACAGGCTCGGCAAGGCCAAGTCACACCAGCACCTCGCACAGGATTAGAACCCAGAACCCTTGATCTGAACCACAGTACCCTGCCACCTACCATCGGGATATCTGCCCACATGGTGCCTTACATGTTTCTTAACTGCTTGTGAGCACAGCAGCTGAATCACAGCGTCACAGAATCCTAGATGCCCACCTCATGGTCTAGGTCAGTATTCAGTCCTAGAGAGGCCAAGGAACAGGCTTCAGGTCACACAACAGTTTGGAGGTGGAACTACTCCATACCCCAGATCCCCACCCTCCCCAAATCCTTGTTTCTCCCTCAGGGCCTGGCACACCCAAGCATGGAATAGTAGTAATTAGCACATACGGAGTCCCTATATGTGCCGTTCGGTCATCTATCATCAGCACAGCCATGAGAGGTATGTGCTAAGATTATATCCATTTTACAGATAATGCTGAGGCTCAGGGACTTCCCTGGTGGTCCAGAGGTTAAGAATCTTCCTTGCAATGCAGGGGACACGTGTTTGATCCTTGCTCAGGAAAATAAGATTCCACCTGCCGTGGAGCAAGTAAGCCCATGTGCCGTAACTCTAGAGAGTCCGTGTGCTACAATGAAGGATTCCACATGACCCAGCGAAGATCCTGCATGCTGCAATTAAGACCTGACACAGCCAAATAAAATAAATGAATATTAAATAAAAGAGAGAAACTGAGGCTCAGAGAGGGGAAGTCATTTGCCCAAGTTGACACAGCATGTTGGTGGTAGGGCTGGAATTTGAACCAATTCCTTGGTGGACCCAAGAGGCCTCGCTGGAGGCACGAAGACCTCTGGACAGGAGGGTGGATGGCCCCTTTGCAGGCTCCCAGGTAAGCGGTGTCCAATTTAGAGTTTCCACACAGGCCTGGCCTCCCTGGGGCGGGCAGAAAAGTGCTGAGGCTGTAGAAATGCTCTGAACCTTCCCAGAAGAGGCGGCCACGGTGGGAGGGAGCGTTTGGTTCGGACCTCAGAGCCAAGTGTAGACGTGGCGGCTGGGCCCGCTGCAGGCGAGGGAGGGCAGGCGGGGTGGGGCCCCAAATCCAACCGGCCTCCCAGCAGCGTTCCCAGCCATCCGCCAGCCAGGCCCGGCCCTGCCCGCCCTTCTAGCTCCTCATCTGGATTTGAGATGAGGACGCTGGGCCTAATAAAAGCAGAATGGTAGCAAAGGCAGGGCCTGGAACCACAGCCAGTGAGAGGCTGGGATCCCCCATCATCTCATGCTGG